CTGAAAGGTGGGTGCTTTATTATCATCCTCATTTATAAATGGGGAAATGGGCTCTGGAGAGGTGAAATGACTTGCCACAGGGTAGAATCAGACTCCAAGACATCTCCCCACCTGCACCTGGTCCAGCCACCAGCACTTCTCACCTAGATGGTCCAAGTAGCCTCTTCATTGGGCTTCTTACTTCTACCCCTGCCCCCGACACCATGTTCTTCACACACAGTCAGAAAGATCTTGTGATAAAGTCCAAGTCACCTCACATTCTTCTTCTGCTCGAAACCCTCCTATGATTCTCTCTTAACTCAGAGTCAAAGCTGAGTCTTTACAGTAGCCCTCAAGACTCCACACAGCCTGCTCCCTGCCTGACTCTCTGGCGGCAGCCCTCTCACTCTCCCTCTCCCCGACTCTTCTCCAGCTTCCCTGGGCTCCTTGCCCTTCCTCCAACATGCCAGGCATGCTGCTACCTCAGGGCCTTTGTACCTGCTGTTCCCTCTGCCTGGACTGCTCTTTCCCCAAAGACCCACATGACCCACTGCCTCACTTCCTTCAGGCCTTTGCTCAGATGCCACCTCCTCAGTAAGATCTTTTCTGTATGCCCTGTTCAAAACTGCAGCCAGCCCCTCCATCCCATACCCTCCCCCTCCTCCCTTTCTTTGATGTATTTTCTTCACGGCCTTTACCATCACCTAACATCCTATATGTCTTACTTCCTCTGCTTGTTTATTGTTTATCTCCCTAGAATGTGAGCTCATGAGGCCAGGAATTTGTGTCTGTTTTATTTACTACTATACATCTGGTGCCTAGAATGGTGCCCAATGTATAGGAAGGGCTCAATATTTGCCAAGTGGATGAATATCTGCCTTGAGTGTTGGTGCTCATCACCACTATACGTTTTTTGTGCAAAGCACTGAGGTACCTGCTTTCTGTGTTGACTTCTAATCATATCCCTTATCTCCTCTATCCATGCCAAGGTGTCCAGGCAAAGAAGCCCTCTTCCCTAGAGTCTGCTCTGGCTCCATCCCAGCCCCAGTCTGGACCCTTCCTCTCCATCACCCTTTTGATGCTCATGTCAATTCCTTGCTTAAAATCCTCAAGGGACTCAAGGACTCCACCTCACAACCTCCACACAGGGTTTTGCATACTGTTGGTCACAAATGGTTAGTGGGCTGCAAAATCAACCAGCATTTTTCAATAGAAAAGAATGGATCAGATTCTGTGCACATAGTGTAGACATAACATAGACTAAGATATAGGTGAAGTATGGTTTCATGAGACATTTCAGTTTTGTTTTTTGTTTTTTTTAAAGATGACCGGTAAGGGGATCTTAACCCTTGACTTGGTGTTGTCAGCACCACGCTCAGCCAGTGAGCGAACCGGCCATCCCTATGTGGGATCCGAACCCGGGGCCTTGGTGTTATCAGCACCGCACTCTCCCGAGTGAGCCACGGGCCGGCCCGACATTTCAGTTTTATATGCATTGCATCATGATGTAAGTACACTTCTTACTGTGAGTCAAAAAAGCTTGCAAAGCCCTGCACTACACAGTCCTACCTCTCCTAAATCCCATGTACTGACTGGGTAAGCGACATTAATACCAGTTCAGATTTATCTCTTTCCTGACACCCATGCCAAGTGCTTTCACCTGCTTTAGACTGTGGACTCCTCGTCACACCCTGAGCATGGTTATGATTACCATTTGACAGATGGCAAGACTGACGTATGGACTGAAGCTGGGAAGGGCTGGGAAGGAGAGGAGCAGGGCTTGAGCTCCAGCCAGCCTCCCCCACAAGCCTGCACCTGTAACACCTGCCCACCTGCCCACTTGCCCAGCCCCTTCCAATCAGCTCCCCACCTTCACAAAGCACTCCAGTGTGCCAGCCTGTCCTTGGAGCGCCACAGGTGCAAGCTGCCTCATAGTCCCTCCCAACATCATAGCCAGCAACAATGTTTCAACCCACATTTTGCAGGCTAGAAAACAGAGGCCTTTCACCCCAGAAAACAAAAGCTAGAAAGCATTTCCTAGAATCCACCATTTTGTCATCTTTCTCCAAAGTCTCCTCTTTGAGAGGCAGAAGAGAGAAATCGCTGATAATATGTCTTTGACTACCTAGGTTCAAATCCCACGCTTCAGAACTTTGTAGCTGTATGACCCCAGCTCTCTGGGCCTCAGTTTCCTTTTCTCCAAAATGAGGATAATAATAGTAACCTACCATAAGGTCATGCTTAAGACTTAAATAAGTTAAAATACTTACAAAGTTCTTAGAACAGTGACCACCCCTTGGTTGGAGAATCTTCCCAACAGTCCTATGTAATTGGAGTATTTTTTGCCCTCCAACTTTTTATATTTTGCCCTCCACAGAGAAGAGAAGGTCCTTGCCTGAGTTCACACAGCTAGAAAGTGGGAAAGTCAGAATTTGGATGTAAACCTCCCTAAACTTTTAACCCCCAAGTCACAACAGTCCTTTAAAGGGAATTATTAGAGCATGGTGTTATAACCAAGGTCAAGAGTTCAGATCCCCTTACTGGCCAGCTGCCAAAAATAAATAAACAAATAAATAAATAGGAATTAGTATTAACAGCAACAGCACAGATATTTTCCAAATTAAAAGAATGTGAGACTCAGAGAGAGTAAGGACACGCCCAAGTCACACAGCATGTAAGGGCAGAGCCTGGATTCAAACCCAGGTTCGTACATGGCCAGGTGCAGGTTGATCTTCGCCCCAATGAGCCCCTCCATACAGACAGGGTGGGAGAAAAGAGTAGGCTCAGAGCCGCCCCTGCCCCAGCTTGGTCAGGGTCTCTGGTGTCCCCGACTCTGGCCCCTGCCCAGGCTAGGGTGACCACTCCCCTGAAAGCTCTGGAATGGAGGCACTGGGGCGGCACGGATGATGGCAGAGGGGGCTGAGTCCTCTGATTGGGGCCGTGCAATCCCCCAGGATTTGGTGCTTGGAAAGCTGACGTTGGGTTGCTATGGTGATGGGTTTGGGGTGGTTGCCATGGCAGCAGAACTAGCCTAGGTTTAAAAATATCTTGGAGGAGGTTTGTGTTTGTGTGTGAGTGTGCCTGCATGATCGACCATGCTGTTGTGTGTGTCCAAATAAGAGGACTTGGGGGGGCAGTGCAGAGTTCGGGCTGCGGGTGTGACTGGGCATGGGGGCTGAGCAGCACACAGCACAGTATGTGTGTCTTGTGTGTCGCAGAGTGGCCCGTGAGGTCTGGTCTTGTGTGCATTAGACTATGTGTGCCAGGTATCTAAATGTGTGTGTTTACCTAATTTGTGTGCAAGGCATGACTGAGTCATTCTATACATCACATGTCCCTGACCTGTATGTCTTATGTACCATAGGCCATGCATGTCTTGTGGCTTTGATCGTGTCTTTGTAACTTCTTAGGGTGTGTGGGGCCAACTGTGGAGTTATTGTGTCACTGAATATGTGCACCTGCGCATATTTGAATATTAGATGTGACTACGTGGATATTGATGTATGTCTATTTGTGTGTGAGAACCTGTGCTGTGGCTTTGGATCCACATGACTGAATGTGCCTTATGGCTGAGTGTGTGTGTGTCTGTGTGCTTGTGTGTGCATGCCTATCCCCTGTGAGTGTGCCTGTGTGAAACTGTGTTGAGTCCATGCACCTGTGTATCTGCAGTAGGGCCTGTGTGACTGTGTGTGTGTGAGTGGGGAACTTCACACCCAGTTCCATGGATGTTGGGATATGTACCTGTGTCATGTGAGCATATGTGACTAAAAGGGTCTAAGGTGTGGATCTCAGCCTGACCCCAGAATCTCCCTACATCCCTCTTGCCTCTTCCTGGTCTCCATGGCAACTAGGTCCTCAGCTCCCTCCAGGAAGATGGAGGGGGAGGATCCAGACTGCAGTGGACCACATCTCCCTCCCATCCCCCTTGGCTCTGGGGACAATGGGGGGAGGGGACAGATGGGCGGCCACCCCATCCACTCCAGGCCATCTGCTACCCCCTCCATCCTAGGGACCTGGGGCATGGCAAGGGAGGAGCTGGGAGTGGGAGTGGAGCAGATCCCACTGCCACAGATCCCCCAGCTGCCACAATTACCCCATTCACATCCCCTCTGAGCTTATTCTTGCCTCTGGCTGATGTAGGAAGTAAAGAACCCTTGGTGAACAGGAATCTAGGGAGAAGAAAATTTAGGTATCAGAAAACATGGAATATTATTAATGATCTATTCTAAGGAAGAGCCCTTTACTTCCAATGACTTCGGGCTCTGAAGTTAAGCTTGTCCTCTGTTCAAATCACTGTTCTATCTCTGTCTAGCTGTGTACCCTTGCAGAAGCCACACTCTATGTCCCAGGATCTCCACCTCATCATCTGAAAATCAGGTTTTCTTTGTTTTACATGAACAGTAATACTTACTCTACAGGGGCCAAGACCGTTTTGTTCCCTGTTGTATCCTAGCGTTTGGGACAGTGCCTGGCACTGAGTGGGTGGACAATAAGTACTGCTGATTGAGCTGAGAGACAGTTGTTCGCCAAGCTCAATGCTACATGCTTTAACTCAGGTGTTCATTTTATTCAATCCTGAGCCCTTGCAGCAACCCTGTTTAGATTCTTCAAGGGACGGATGTAAAGTTTGAGAAGGAACTTCCCAGCTGTCAGGGTTGGGAGGCACTGTAAAGACAGAATTCCTAACCTGACCTAGTGAAGTCAGGTCTTTGAGGCTCAGTTTCCTCATCTGTAAAATGGGAATAAGTACCTCACAGATTTGTTTGCTCTGGGATTAAATGCGATAATATCTGTGAAGCGCTTACTAGAACCGGACCTGGCACACAGTATAAGTGCTCAATAAACGTTCATTAAACGTGAGGAGTGAGGAGGTGTGAAGGAAGCCCAGGGTCCTCATTGTAGCCTGGGGGTGTCCGGTCTCTCTCTCCTCGGCTGAGAGGGGCGTGGCCAACCGAGAGGGATGCGGTCCAGGCTTCAAGGGTGAACCAATGGGGGCGCCGAGGGGCGTGGCCCTGGTCGGTATGGGCGTGCCCTCGCGCGAGTGGGAGGGGCCAGGCCGCTGTGGGAGCCTCCGGGAAGAAGATGCTCGGGCCCGCAGCCGCCGCCAGCCCCGTCGCCGCTGTCTCCCGCGCCCGCTGCCCCCGGGGCCCCCACTAACGGCCGCCTCCGATTCCCACCTCCGGCCCCGCTCCTCCGGCCCCCCGCCCCAAGCAGGGTCTGGGGGGCTCGGCCCTCTGCCCAGAGAAGCAAAGAAGGGGAATCCCGTCCCCCAAGTGGCGCGGCCAGTCCCCGGCCTCCGTGATCTTGAGAGAGACCCCACCCCTCAGTTCTCTCCGGGCCCTAGCGGAGACCCCTTTTGCCCTCCCATCCTGCTCACATCCGCTCTCCAGGCTCCGTCAGCCCCCCAGAACCAGCTCCCTCCCTCCTTCCCTCCTTCCCTCTCCGGGGTTCGGGGCTGAGAGCTTTGTCTGCTATGGGGGGGGTAAGTGTCCTTGCGGGGGGTGGGGGCGCAGAGGATGGGGGGCGTGGGTACCTCTGGGCGGGTGTCTATGTGTCCTTGAGGGGTGTCTGATGTGACCCTTTCGGGGCAGGGGTGTTCCCCAGGCTTGTGAGTCCTGGCGGGGGGAGGGGAAGGCGTAAAGGAGGCCTCTGGACCCGAAGCTTCTCAGCCTCTCTCCCTGGGGATGTCCTGAGCAAGGGTTGTCCCAGAGGGAGGCATGTGTGGGCCATGGGCGGGATCATGCGTGGAGACAGGCTGGTGGGTGTGTTGGGTGAAATGGACGAAAGGGTGGGTGTGTAAAGCTAGGTGGGAGAATGTGAGTCTAGGACAGGTGTGTGTGTGTGTGTGTGTGTGTGCCCCGTAAAGCCTGGATGTGTGACATTAGGGATCGTGGATATGACAGGATAGACGGGGTGTGTGTATAAGAGTCAGGGCTAGAGGAGAGGGGCTGGGCTCCATGTTTGAGACCCTTGAGAGGGTATTGTGACAAGGGAAGGTGTATGCTTGTCACCCCAGAGGGGGCTGTAGCAAAGTGTGACACATGACTGAGAGGATGTATGTGACACGCAAAGGGGTGTGCGGGGAAGGCCGAATGGGCTGGCCCTGGGTGTGAGCCATGAGAGGCTGTGTGGATCTGGGGAAAGTGGGTCAGTGTGTGTGGCACAGGCGTGGCTGGGGCGGAGTGGGACCAGGAGAAGCTGGTAAGGGGATGTGACAAGAAAGGGTGTGGGTGTGACTCCAGAGAGGCTGTGGCTGGGTGTGACACACGGAGGTGTGCAACAGTGACATCAGAGGGGGTGTGTGCAACAGGGAAAGGTGGATGTATGAGGAGAGAGAGGCTGGGGCTTGTGGGTGAAACCATGAGGGTGTGTAACAAGGAAAGGGAAGGATGGGTCCCCGTGTGATAGGGAATGCGTGCGTATGACAACCCAGGATCTATGTATGACACCTAAGTATGTGTACATGTGTAACAAGGGAAGGTGTGTGTGTGAAATGGCTGTGTGTGACACCAGAGATGGGATAATTCTGTGTGTATGACAAGGGAGGGCATTTGTGTGTGTGTGTGTGTGTGTGTGTGTGTGTGTGTGTGTGTGTGTGTGTGTGTGTTGGCTGCATGTTTGACAGCACAGGAGTGTGTGTGAGAGACCAGAGGGGCCCTCACTGTCTGTGTGATCTGAGGAGGTGTGCCTACCAGAGAAGAGCCAAGCTGCAAGCTCTAGGTGTATGCCGTGCCATTGGGGAACTCAGGAAAGAAGTCTGGTTTGTTGGGGTCCTCAGAGCCTAGCCCCCTCCAGCTCCCTAGAAGGAGGGAGAGCCTAGAGCAGAGAAGCCCCTCCCTGTGGTCACCTTAGCCAAAATCTCCACTTCCTCTGGCCTTTTCCTCCGGATGGGAGAGGATGGCCTCGGTCAGAGTGCACCCTTCCCTCTGCACCAGGCACTGAAGTGGATGGAGCGAAGTCCTCCTACCTTCTCCCCTCAGATGAATACAAGCAGAGTCTCTTCCTCTTATCCCAGGCCCCCCCACCTCCATCCAGGTGGGACAGGAACCAGGGACCCCCTGGATGCCTGCGAGGGTGTCCAGCAGAAATTGGAGGAAAAGGAAGTTGGGGGAGAAGTGGGAGGGAGTTTCCTGTTCTTCTTCCTGCTCCACCACCCCCAGCACACACATGAATATGTCCCCGCCGACTTCCTTCCCTCCTTCCTGCCCCACTGCATTCCCAGTCCTGGAGAGAGTCGGGGACCCAGGAGGTCCCTGAGCCTAGGCTGGCTGTTCAGTCCTCCCCACCCTTCTCTTAAAGGGGCTGAGATGCTCAAAATCTGATCTCTCAGCAGCACAATGTTATAATAATGCTGCTGCTGCTGCTGCTGCCAGTGACCGTCATATCTACCTAATTGGCATCTACTAGGACTCAGGCTCTGAGATATGGGTTCATTCCTCAAAACAACCCTCAGGGGAGATGATTTGAGCTGCTTTTTACAGATGAGGAAAACTAAGATTCAGTGAAATGAAACTACTTGCCCAGCGTCACTTAGCTCCTAAGGGGTTGAGCTAAGATTTATCCAACCCTTGGCTGCCTGGTTCCAGAGCTCGTACACTTAACCACTGTGCTATCCTGCCTCCCTCAGTAGTGGAGAAATTAGGACAAGCATTTAGGGACCACCTCCTCTGGACTTTCTCCCACCTTCTCTCCCATTTACCCATGAGGAAACTGAGGCTGGATGAGATGAAAAGAGACAGTCCTCCATTGATAGAAACACTCAAGGGCAGAGCTGGGCAAGGGCCCAGGACTCTGATCTCAAAATTGAGGACTCCTTTCTTTTTTTTTTTTTTTTTTTTAAAGATGACCAGTAAGGGGATCTTAACCCTTGACTTGGTGTTGTCAGCACCACGCTCACTCTGTGAGCAAACCGGCCATCCCTATATGGGATCCGAACCCGTGGCCTTGGTGTTATCAGCACCGCACTCTCCTGAGTGAGCCACGGGCCGGCCCCCGAGGACTCCTTTCAATAATATACCTTCTTGGCTGTGGGATGTTGAGTCAACTCCTCCCCTTTTCTAAGCCTCAGTGTTCCCCTCTGCCAAATGGGGGAATAACAATAACCACAGTGATAATAGTAATAATAGGTACCAATATTATTCCTTAATGTCTTACATGCAATTTCATATAAATCTCCCAACACTCTGTGGTATAATAATAATAAATTATAATAATGGCTAACATTTATGGTGCTACAATGTGCCAGGAAGCATTATGGAAAGTCCTTGACATCTATCAATCATTCAATCCTTCAACAATTATGTTATGTTACCCGTCTTACAAATGAAAAATGAAGGCACAGAGAGGTTAAGTAACTTGCCCAAGATCAGTCAGCTAATAAGAGGTGCAGTCATGATTTGAACTCAGGAGGCTGGCTCCATTTTGTGGGTAGACACTATAGTGAACCCATTTTCAGGTGAGGAAACTGAGGCTTAAAGGGGTGAGGGACTTCTCCAGAGTGCCACAGCATGTAGTTGCAGACTGGACAGATCAGGCTCTTGCCCTCATTGCCAGCCTGCCCTCCTGCAGGGCAGATGGGAGAAATGGAGGAGATGGTGGCTGTTCAAACTGGCTTCTGGGCACTATGACTGGTTGGCAGACACCACTGGGAGGAAGACAAGGGACTCAGGGCAGGAGGACTTGGGTGAAGAGTTTGGATGGAAACCCCAATCAGGGACTCATCAGAGAAATAAATGACTCCAGTCTTGTGGGACAATAACAAAGTGTGTTCCCCTTGAGTACAGATCATAACTCTTAAGCTGCAACAGCTGCAACTATAGTGGCCCCCATATTCCTGACTGTGTTCCCACCTTGGTCACCCTCAAAAGTTTAGAAAAAGCAAAAACAAAACAAAACAAAAAAATGCCATATACATACATGTGCACACTTATCTTAACCCAAACATATTTTAGTCAGGTCTTGCTCCTAACATCCCTTGCTCTTTGATACAAGGCAGTGTCACCAGGGTTAAGAGCCCGAGAATGAGACCTGTCAGTGTTCAGGTCTCGTTACTGTCAGGTGCTTGGTGTGGAATCCTCAGGCAAGTTATTTTACTGCTCTGAGCCTCAGTCTCCTTATCTATAAAATGGGGACAATAAGATCTACCTCTTTGGGTTGTTGTGTGCATTAAATGAAATCGCATATGTAAAGCACATAGCATAATGCATGGCAGATGCTAAGTGCTCAATAAACAATAGCTACCATTATTATCAGCGCCACTGAGAATGTCATTTTTTTTTTTTTTGCCATCCAATGGTGATTCACCCCAAGGAAATCGTACTCCAGCCACCTTTCTCTCACTCAGACACAGTCACATCAACCACAGCGTTATACGTGCAGACATCTTATCCCTACAGAAGCACACCCCAGTTGTATTGCATTTTTCACACAAACAGGCAACACCATCATTCACAGAAAGACATGGTACGCCTGACACCCCACCCCACCTCAGCAGTCCCATTCCCACATCACACCCTGTCTTGTCTTCCACCAACAGCACCCCACACACTTCCAATGACAGTACCAATATCACAGCCCAGCCTCCTCAAACCTGCATACAGCATATCTACTCGCCCATCCCCAACCCTCAAACAAGAACAGGTATCTGAGGACAACACTCCAACTTTGGTTCCCTTCAGACAAACTGCCACCAAAACTAGCACCTCTACATCCTACATCCCTTCAGCTCTACTTTTGTCATTAATGACCCACAAAGATCAAAGCCACCTTACAGGGTCAACTCTCTGACTATAAGATGTGCCCCTCTTACTACAACACCCCAAATCTCTTGGCTAGGCAGACATTATTTATGGAGTGAGGGAAGCATTGGTTGATTTTTTTTAAAGCCTCCAGGAGCATCCCTGAGGGAGGTGGGCAAAAAAGGGAAGGGGAGGCCAGAGACTCCGTGACTAGAAGGGGAAATACAGCCCTCCCCAGGGTGGAAATGCTTGAAATTGCAGCAAGAGAGAAACAGGTTAATCAGGAGAGCAGAAGTTGTCTTCTTCACTTCTTTATGTCCTGTAATCGGGTAGAGGGAGCTTCCTGCACCCCAAAGGAAGAGCTAACAGGGAGGTGGGAGTGGGTGGGTGCAGAGTTCTGGCATTTAGATTCTTCTTCAGTAGAAGGAAGAACTTTCTCATAGGCAGAGCCTTGGTTGTTCAAACAGGGTGGGAATGCGTGAAATCTGAGGGCTCTGATTTCAGCTGAGGGCATGTATCGCCCTTGCTGCAAGGAAGGCTGGGAAATAGAGACCTGGCTTCTTCCTGGGGAAGATGGGCACACGGTGGGAAATGCCCCCAATCAGGAAGGATGTGCAGAAGATTCTGGAAGGACCCAGAACAGACTGATTGATGTCTACCATGAGGACTCCTCAAACTTAATGTTCTGCGTTTCTACAGACAGGAGATCTCGGCCTGAGGAGGGGGTCCCCAGAAGCCAGATTTTCAATAGTCTGGTACAGAGACCACCAAGCACTCGCGAGGTGGTTAAGGTGGTTGATAGACAAACTTTTTTTTTTCTTTTCAACCATCATATATTTATATTAATGTACTTTGGGGTGGATGGGAGGGAACATAACCAGCTTTTCAAACTCCAATTATGAGCAATGATTTTTAAATTTCCTCTTTAAACATATGCACTTAAATTTTAAAAGCAATTTAGAGGAAATGGACCTTATCGGTCTGGTTCCCTGCTGTATCCCCAGCACCTAACACGAGGACTGGCACATAGTGGGTGACCAGGAAGGATTTGTTGAAGGAGGGGAGGGAAGAGTGAGAGAAAAGGAAGGAAATAGTAATACAGAGGGACATACGATGGGAAAAATTCAAGAAGGTGGTATGAGAAAGAAAGGAGTTAGAGATGCTGAGGCGGGAGAATGGGCACAGGTCCTCATTTGTATCAGTGAGAGGAAATTTCTCCTCCAAGAAGCAGGGAAGGCTTGGGGCAGCCCCCTGGGGGGACAGAGTATGCAGGAAGTGGGGCATCCCCTCCTTTCCCCTTAGTGTTCATTCTGGAGCACTTACCACGTGCCAGACACTGTGACAAGAACTTGACTGTGTTCATCGTGTAGGTAACACTAATAACGATATCTAACATTTCTCAAGTGCTCTGAGTGCCTGAGACCTTCCTAAGGACTTTCCATTTTGCCATTTACCGTCTCACAATAACCCTGTGAGGTAGTGCTATCGTGATCCCCATGTTATAGATGAGGAAACAGGCCCAAAGAGGTGAGGGGACTTGCCCAAGGCCACACAGCCTGTCACTGACAAAATTCACACTTAGTCTAGGGTTGTTTCTGCCATTTCATTTGGAAGTTCTCAGACAAATCCTAAGGACTTTCCATTTTGCCATTTACCGTCTCACAATAACACTGTGAGGTAGTGCTATCGTGATCCCCATGTTATAGATGAGGAAACAGGCCCAAAGAGGTGAGGGGACTTGCCCACGTCCACACAGCCTGTCATTGACAAAATTCACACTTAGTCTAGGGTTGTTTCTGCCATTTCATTTGGAAGTTCTCAGACAAAGCTTGAAGAAATGCAACAGACAGGGAGAAGCAAGTGGGGAGGGAACCATCCCCAGTTTCCTTCATAGAAGATGAACACCTCCCACCCTCAAGAGGGGAGCCGGGGGAGAAGCCCTGGCTGGAGAGAAGACGGGGAGGGAATGTGAAGAAGGAGAAGGAGGATGGAGTCCTAAGGATTAGTGAGAATTCCCTCCCCATCTTTCTGAGCCTTCCGGAGATTTTTAAAAAAAAAAAAAAAAATTCTGTGACAGGTTTAGGGGTGGAGGTGGGGTAGGCAACACCTCCGTGATCCCAGGGAAGAAAGTGAACTTAGGAGGGGTCAGGATGAGTGATGGAAAGGTACCCTGAGGGGTTAATTGCCTAATAGGCTTGATGGTCTGATTAGGCAAGTTTAAGAGGATTGCTTTAGGCTCAAGGAAACTCCTTAATTCTGGACCCCCACCCCCATAACTGCAAGTGCCACATCCAGCCCCTCTTCCCTACAACCCCATCTTAAACACATCAGGGAATCCAGAACCTTTCATCTTAAGAGACCAGGCAGAGATGGGCAGGACTCCCAGCCCCAACCTGCCTCCACTTTTACTAGAGCAGTTTCTCTTTTATCTGCTCTGGATGCTGGGATTTCATGTGAGACATTGAAAATAGACTCACTTCGCTTAAAAGAAAAAGTTGAAAAAACACTGGGGGATGGTTTAAGTCTTTAAGATTTGGAAGTGGAATGGCCTGACTCCTCCCTTTTCCCAGTGTTTATTGCATACCTAAGTGCTTGTACACTGTTGAAGTCCCTGGGACACAGGGGTAAGCTCTATTAACATGGCCCGTGAGGGACCTCTGTGATACATTGCTCTTACAGCATGACACAAGGGGATCCATCCCATCCTCAGGATTTAAGAAACACTTCCAAGAAGAAGCAATATTTGAGTGGAGACCTAGAAGACAAGAGGAATTCCCTAGGGGAAAGAAGTGCCCGACAGGCAGAGAGAATGTGCAAAGGCCCTGAGGTGGGAAAGAGCAGCGAACCTTTGAGGCACAGAAAGGACAATGAGTCTGATGTCCATAGAGAAAGATGAGGAAGTGAAGCTGGAAAGGTGGGCAGGACCCAACCACATAGGGTCTTATACTTAGAAGGCTCCAGAGTTTCTGCCCTGGGAGCACTTAGGGGAAATAGTTTGGTTAGAAGGCAGGAGAGGTTAGGGACTTGCCTTCAGGCTGCATTAACAAAATGCTTTATGCATGGCCATGAAAATTGGTCATTAACAAAGAATGGCCAGAACCCCACAAACCACCACTGGCACCACCTCTAGGTCTTTGGGGCTGTCCTTGAACGTGTTGGTCTTTAGCCACCAGCAGTGGAGCATGTAAAGCAAGGGTGGGCCAAGACTGAATCAGAATTGGATTTGAATCTCCACCCAGCAACTATCTTGGTGCCCTTGGGCTGGTGACCTTGGACTAGTGCCTTTAATTCTCTGTGCCCCTCTGTGCCTCAGTTTCCTCTTGTGTAAAAATGGAGCTCATTCTACCCTCCTCACCAGGAGGTTGTGAGGAATGGACAAGATCGAGCTTGCGAAGCACTCAACACAGCACCTGGTCAAAAGTGAGTGTTCAGAACATCTTCAGTGTCCAGCCCTCCTCTGCCCCCCTCTCACTGCTTCCACCAGTCAGGCCGCTGTCACCACCTGCTGGGATCATTGCAGTCACCTCCTCACTGGGCCCCCACCTCTTCCACCATTGCTTTTCACAGCCTGCTCCCCTCACAGGCATCAAAGGAATGTTCTTAAAACCCAAGTCCGGGGCCAGCCCGTGGCTCACTCGGGAGAGTGCGGTGCTGATAACACCAAGGCCCCGGGTTCGGATCCCACATAGGGATGGCCGGTTCGCTCACTGGGTGAGCGTGGTGCTGACAACACCAAGTCAAGGGTTAAGATCCCCTTACCGGTCATCTTTAAAAAAAGAAAAAAAAACCCAAGTCCGATCACATCCCTTTGGTGGCTCCCGTCTCACTTGGAGCAAAAGCCGAAGACCTCACAGTGGCCCACATGCCTTAACACCCCACCGCCAGCACCCCTTTCTGCCCCATCATCTCCTTCCACTCTTCCCGTCTCACTCAGCCCCTGATGCAGTGGCCTCCTCACTCTTCCTCGAGCAACCTAGGCACAACCCCACCCCAGGGCCTTTGCACCTGCTCCACATGGCCACAGGATTTCATTCCTTCCTCCATAGCTTGGTCATCATAATGGCTCAGAACATGGACTGTGGAGCCAGGTTGGGTTCAAATCTCAGTTCTGCCACCTGCTAGCTATGTGAACTTGGGCAATCTCTTCACCTTTGTTTCCTCATCTGTAGAACGGATTTTTTCTAAGTGCCTCCCTCAGGACCAGTGTGAAAATTGAAAGGACTGGTATTTGTCATGTACTTGGAACACAGTCTAGTGTATATTAGGTGCTGTAGACGTGTGTGATGAATGAAGAATGTCACATTCTTGGGAAGGGCTTTCCTGGCCTCCTTATCTGACATTGCAGCCGTCTACCCTACTCTATCCCCCTTTCCTGCCTCTTTTTGTTTTCTTACTACAGTACTTACCACCATCTGAAATAAAATATATTGTCTGTCTCCTCCCTCTAGAAGAATGTAGCTGTATGAGCTCTTGGCTGAATCACTAAAACTCTTTGGGCCTTATTTGCCTCATTCACCCACAAGATCAGGGAGCTTTGTCTGTTTTCTTCGTGGTCGTTTCCTTAGACCTCAGGCACATTGCAGGTGCTCACTATTTGTTGGAAGGAAGGAAGGAAGGAGGGAGGGAAGGAGAGAGCAGGTGAATGAAGATCACTATTTGTATTATTTTCCTTACTGCTATTTTCATTGTCATTGCTCCTATGTGTTACTGCAGTCCCTGTTGTCTTCTCTGCCCACCCCGTCCTGGGCACCTCCCTGGAGGTGCCTTCCAAAGGTGAAGACCCCTCCCCTACTGATTCTCCTCCACCCTATGTGCCCCTGCAGAGGAAGGCGAATACTTCCTGAAGGTGCTGATCCCCAGCTACGCAGCAGGCTCCATCATTGGCAAGGGCGGGCAGACCATCGTGCAACTGCAGAAGGAGACGGGAGCCACCATCAAGCTCTCCAAGTCCAAAGACTTCTACCCTGGTGAGCCCCGGCCCAAGTCTCAGACCTACGTCCCTCCTTCTCCCTCCCACCTGGGCCCTGAATGAGGGGGAAAGGCCGCCCTAGGGGCAGTGACAGTGGTGGAAGGCCTTCCTTCCCCCTAAGGGACAGAGCTGTCCCCAGCCTTGAAGGGTCTGGCCAAGCAGATGGGGGTGGGGGCAGGGCAAGACAATGGGCCTGCTGCATATTCATGAGCTCATTTGCATGATGTGCTGGCAGATGTGTCCCTTCCCACACACCTGCCCCCTCAGGTCAGTTGGAGGAGCTAGGGTGGGGAGGGAGGCAGGTGTCAGGGCGTCCCTCAGGGATTGGGGGCCAGCCATCCATGTTACACATGCCCCCCCCACTCTCCCTTTGGATTTAAGTCAGCCCGTCTTGCCCAATCTCAGTATCTCTGGTTTTCTTTTTTTTAAGATGACCAGTAATCAGGGATTGGGGGCCAGCCATCCATGTTACACATGCCCCCCCCACTCTCCCTTTGGATTTCAGTCAGCCCGTCTTGCCCAATCTCAGTATCTCTGGTTTTCTTTTTTTTAAGATGACCAGTAACGGGATCTTAACCCTTGACTTGGTGTTGTCAGCACCACGCTCAGCCAGTGAGCTAACCGGCCATCCCTATATGGGATCCGAACCCGGGGCCTTGGTGTTATCAGCACCACACTCTCCCGAGTGAGCCACGGGCCGGCCCATTCTGTGTCATTCTTTATGTGCCTCTTTCTCATTCTGTTTCTGACTTTCCCATCTCTTGTTCCTTTAGTCTTCATTCCCATCTGCCTCTGTCTTCTCCTGCCCCTCTTTCTGCTCTTTCCTCTCTCCCTGTCTCTCTGGTTTTATCTACCTGTCTCTTGTCCTCTTAGTCTCCCATCCCATCTGTCTGTCTCTCTGGTTTTTTTGTTTTGTTTTGTTTTGCTTTTTTAAAAGATGACCGGTAAGGCGATCTCAACCCTTGACTTGGTGTTGTCAGCACCACGCTCTCCCAGTGAGCGAACCGGCCATCCCTATATGGGATCCGAACCCGGGGCCTTGGTGTTATCAGCACCACACTCTCCCGAGTGAGCCACGGGCCGGCCCATTTTGTGTGTTTTTTT